GATCGAACGTCTAAAACACTGGACGAATGCCTTCCGTCTATCACAACATGATCAATTTGATTTCTCGTTGCTTGATCAGGAGAGATCCAGGTGGCCTTGTGTATATCGAGATGCTTGAATTTGGTGCTGCTAACTACCATATTTGTTGCTGCCTCGAAGTCAATCAATCTCATGCCGTTATCTGATGTTTCTTCATGGAGGCGGAATTCTCCGACGGTGGGGCCAACGATATTTTCCCTTGCGATTTTTGCATTAAAATCTCCTAGCAGAATTTTAAAGTCATGGCCAGGTCAACGGTCTTATGCAGTTACTAGGCGCTCGTAAAAAATGTCTTTGGTCTGTTCATCTTTGTCTTCCGTCGGAGCATGGGCGCAAATGAGACTGATGTAGAAGAACTTCTCTTTTATACGGATTATAGCAATTCGCTGATCTACTGGAGTGAATCTGTAGACGAGGTCTTTTATTATCCTGTTTATTATAAATCCGCAGCCAAATTCACGTCTCGTTTCATGGCAGCTATAAGGGCGTAATCATCAGATTTATTGACACCAGTCCCTTTCCATCGCATTTCCTGTAAGGCAATAATATCGGTTTTGTACTTCTTGAAGTCTCGCGTGTGGGCAACTAACCCGACGCCTCAACCCATTTTGTTATAGTTCTTATGGGTGAAATCGCGGCACATATTAGCTCACTATTTCATCGGGTGATGAAAATAGCTATCCCAGGTGGCACCACGGGGAAGTCAGTCTCGACAATTGAGATGAAAGAGGGACCAAGATAAGCCTGGACTTCACCATGTTAAAGCCAATCAGAGCCGTTGCTTGGTATCTATCATCCCCTACGCCACCCGAATTTTTAAAAATATTTTTTAATAAACCAGACAATGTGTGGATTTTTTAAAAATTATTTTTTTTTGGCATCCATACAAGGCGTGGATTTTTTTAATGCATCTCCAATTATTACATAATATTTCTATAGAGAAAATCTTCTCACAACCTTACTCAACATTACAAATATAATTTCCCATAAAACAAAAACAAAAAAAAACTTTAATCAACATTTTTATTCAATTTTATGTTAATCTTAAACAATTATTTACATAAATTTTATTTACAAAGATGTGGCCGTAGTAGGCTTTCGATACATTTCATGAAGAAAAAAATCCACAATGAATTTTATTGTCACAATGAAAAATCGAGTTTACACATAAAACCGTTAATTTTCAAAAAAAAAAAAAAAAATACTCTCATACTATTTTCAAAATACACATTTTAACTAGTCAGAGAGATGACGAGGCAGAATTGAAATGCATTTTATGTAAATTCGTGAATTTTGTTTGAAACCCCCCAAATAAAAACATGTTCGATTATGTAATGTCGTCGTATTTGATGATTGTGTTTTTGTTGTTGTTCGTTTCTGTTTTTTTATTATTATTTGATAATCGTTGGTTTCAAGTTGGCCAACATTCCGAGCAAGAAGTCGGTTCCATCAAACCACAAAACATGTTGTTAAGTTGGGTTTGTTTTTCGTTAGTCGGTAGCTATGGGGCTCATGGCTCAATGTAATGAATGAATGGATGTCGGTCTGGCTGACCGACTAACTGAATGCATTTAAATGCATTGCTATGTTTGATAATGATAATTATGATGGTCTGTAGGAGGGAGGGTGGAGGTCAGAAATCTGTGTCACTAAGATTGTGCCGAAGCATACAAATCGTGGTAATTTTTGATGGATTTTTTTTAATATTTAAAAAAATTAATGATTTTTATTTAAGGCTTAAAAAAGTATTTAAAAAAACCCCGGCTTGTATGGATGCTTAAAAAATATTTTTAAAAAATCCACGCCTTGTATGGATGACCTTGTATGGATGCCTGAAAAAATATGTTAAAAAATCCACGCCTTATATAATTCCCTGATTTTTTTTAATCCATGCCATGCATAGGCCTTTAAAAACTGTTTTTTGGGTTGGTCGTAATTTTTTATAAATTTAAACCTTTTCTTGTTCCATAAAAATATTTTTTTAAATGTAAAAATAATCTATTAAAATTACAACAACAATAATAACAAACATAACACTTAATTACAAGTTCAATTACCTTGGCATTTATCTGACTGAGAATGTGTATGTGCATGTGTGTTATGTTGATAAGTGCCACATAGTCTGTGGGTATCTGAAACCGATCATATTTCCACTCAAATCTCAATTCAATCGATTTTGAATAGCTTCGTTATTTATCTTTTTTTAAAGCTTTGTCATCATCATATAAAAATACAATAACAATAATAAACCGATATTCAATTTTAAATGTCATGTGAAGATGATGATAAGGGGAGGGCAGAGGGGAAAATGAGCAAGCAATCATAATTGATAATTGTCTTTCTGTTTTGTGTGTCCGGCTAGAATCGTCGATAATATCATGATTACAGCGTAGATTTGTGTTTAAATGTGCGTGAAAGATGGAGGGCGGATCGTGTGTTTACAGTATTTAAAAAAAAAAATCACAACGCACTCATGTAACCATACGTGAAGTGATTAGGAGATCGGGTTCAGGGGACCCCCAGGGTAATGACAGAGAATGTGTGGGTTATATATTTTTTTTTGTTATTTTAAACTTGGGTGCCAAAATTTGTTAGAAATAGAATTAAAAGCAGATGGAGTTCTGGTGAACCTTTTGTAGTCGTATCAGATTTGAGGTCCTATTATCTAGGTCCAAAATATGGGTTAGGATTTTAACAATTGTATTGTAGTATATTTATCCCATGGAAAAATAATTTCGAGTAACTAACATTTATATTAATCTTAGTTCAATAAGTTCTCCTATAGGTATTTAATGCCTTACAGAGTTCTTCAATACCTTTCAGAGATGTTCAATATTTTTCCGAAATCTCCAGTATAAAAAAATCTATAAGTATTCGAGAAATAGAAAATTCTGCTATTTCCCATGTGTAACTCAGAGGCCTTCAATACCTTTCAGAGGTCTTCAGAACGTCTCAAATTCTTAAACACCTTTCAATGTCTTCAAGACACTTCAGATTTCCGCAATTTCCGAGGTCTAAAAACCTTTCAGAGGTCTTCAAAAACTTTCAAATGTCTTTAAGACTTTTCAGAGGTCTTCCAGGCCTTTTTCAATTCTTTCCAGTGGCCATCGATGCCATTTATAGATCTTCAAGACCTTTCAGAGATCTGCAATACCTTTTAGAGAACTTTAAGACCTTTTATAGGTTCTTCACTGGTCTTCTGTAGATAACAAAATTAGAAGTATTCGAGACACATAAAACCCAGGTGTGTAGCTAAAATCCATATTCGCCTCAGGGTCATAGGTCATATAGAAAGTCCTGCTGTGTTGCTAACAATCATATCAACTTTAGTGATCTATAAGACCGTAGGCTTTAGATGTCTTCATCAGTTTTCAGAGATCTTTAAGGCCTTCCAGAGGACTTCAATGGACCTTTTATAGATATGCAAGACCTTTCAGAGGTCTAGAGATTTTGATATTTTATTAAAGGTTTTTTTAAGACCTTGTGGATGTTCTGAAGATATAGAGTTTTTTTTTTTTGAAGTCCTTCAAGATGTTTTCAAGATCTGGTATTAGTGATCTTCAAACCCTTTAGTGGCATTCAAGACATTTTAGAAGCATTTGAAGTCCCAAAATTCTTAAAGACCTACTAGAAGTTTTTTTTGAAGGTTTTCTAGAGATTTTGAGGTATTAAAGCGGTTTTAAAAATATAGAGGTTTTTTGAAGACCTTCTAGGGGGTCTCAAGGTCCTATAGAGGGCTTGAAGACCTTCCAGAGATATTCTAAAGGCTATCTTGATCTTAGATAAATTGGCAACGACATCTTAGAGGCCATCAAGCCCTTCGAGACTTGATAAAGGGTTTCAAGATAGGGTTTTCGTGGTCTTCAAAACATTTAGGGGCCTTCAAGAACCTCTAGTAGGTTTTGAAAAACCTCTAGTAGGTTTTGAAGACCTTCAAATGCCTCTAAAAGGTCATGATGGCCTCTAAAGGTCCACTAAAGACCTCTAAAACCTGATCTTTAATGCCTTTGTAAAGACCTTCGAAACGTCTTGAGGGCCTCTAAGATTAAAGAGCTTTTGGAGGGTTTTTGAAGATCTTCTAGAGATTTTGAGGTCTTGTAGAGGTTTTTGAAGACCTTTTTTAGGTTTTGAAGGTATTAAAGAGCTTTTTCGACTTTATTCTAAAGATATTCGTTTAATAGTCCTCCAGTCCTTTAGAGGCCTTCGATACTTTTTAGATGCATTTGAAGACTCACAAAGGCCTCCGAGTGCTTCGAGAGGTTTTTAAAACTTTCTAGAGGTTTTCAAGACCTTCAAAACTTTCATCAGACTTCTTCTCTTCAGAGTTTTAAAATTATTTGTTTTTATTTCCCCCCTAAAATTACCACTTAAGTCACTTGACATTTTACCTTGCCATTTAATTATTGACTTTGCATTTTGAGAACCGATGCCATTTAAAATTAATTACATGATGTCAATATCCGAGATTTTAATGTATAATTTCTATTTTTTAAAAACTAATATTTTTCTCATGTTCAATTTTCATTACAGCCACTCCCCAACCCTCCAATTTTTGTTGAGCCTTCCCTGCCCGCCCTGGCTTTATGACCACCATATAACATGATGCCATGTTGCTGTTGTTGTTGTAATAGTAATTGCATGCAACAACCATACCACCAGCCGGCTTTGTAGTACTACTTCATCACTTTGGACATTGGATGAATTAAAAAAAAACAACAACAATCTACGACAACAACATCACCATCATCGACTAATAACAACAGAACTACAACAACAAAGCATTAAATTCACAATAATATTAATAACTGCTGATCTCCATTTGCTATTGGGATTTTGAAAAAATAGAAAATCAGTAAATAATTGCATTTGAATAATTACAAAAAAATATTGCATCGATCCGCATCGCCAGACAGAAAAAAATATTCACATTATCCAGACCGAATTAAAATTATTGAAAATAGCCAAAAGTTCCGTGCGGATCGGAGTTGCTTGCAGTCATGAAGGCCATCAAAGATATTGTCCATCCGGTTAAAAAGGAATTTCGAAGAGAGAAATGCGGTTTCGAGCACACACCGCCAGATGATTTTGTCAAGTCACAGGTAAGTTTTAAGAGAAACAAATTATATTATTTATAGAAATTCATAAACCGAAACAGACAAATTTCAAATTTAACGTAAATTTGGTAGGCTATGCAAAATTTCATTTCAATTGGCTGAACATTAGGTTTTTGGTGCACCATTTACCCAAAATCGGACTAAGTTATATATGGGAGCTATATGTAAATTTGAACCGATTTCAATTAAACTTGACACACGTCATACTTGTCTCAATTTAGTGGGCTATGCATAACGTCGCCTTAATTAGCCAAAATTTTGGAAGGTTGATTCACCATTACCAGAAAATCCGATGAAGCTATATATGGGAGCTATATCTAAATCTCAACCGATTTCGACAATACTTAACACCCAATTCGGTAGGCTATGTAGGTAGGCTTCTTTCGGACAAACTTTGGAAGTTTAGTGGACAGTTTACATGAAATCTGACTAAGCTATATATGGGAGCTATATTAAAATCTGAAGTGATTTTCATTAGAGATCCTCGTTCTTGCGACCAAATAAAAAAGCTGTGCCAAATTTCATATGAGATGGTCTTCCAGCAAACATGGCATGTGCTTCGACTTCTAGATATGAAGTGACACCTAGAGATATTGGATAGAACATATAACTTCTAAATAATTTTAAACCTCATAGAGGTATATTAAGTCTTCCTAAGGTATTCAAGGTATAGAAACCATTAAGATTTTCAGGGGGTCTTTATTATATCCGAAATGTTATCCAGATCTAGAAGAAATTTCGTGTATTCAAAATATTCTTCAGATTTTATAGAAATTTGTAAAGAGGTCCTCAAGACGTTTTAAAGAAGTCTTTAAGACGTCAAAAGCTTTAAGAACTTTGAAGGCATTTGAAGTCTCACAAAGGTCTTCAAAACTTTCTTGGTGTTTTTTTCAAAACCTTCTATATCTATCTCTATATATCTATAGAGGTCTTCAAGAGCTTCTAGAGTAATGTAAGTCCTAGATGACTTCAATCTTTTAGAATGCTTCTATTGAATGGTTTTTGTGAATAAAAAAATACAAGCGGTGTTTCATTGTTTTTCTAGAAGTCTTCCTGATATTTTCAAAGCTCTTCTATCGACTAAGAACCTCTGGAGATTTTTCTAAAAGCACTTCTAAAACGTATAATGAGCCTCTAGACCAGTGTTGAACAGAACTAAATTAAGAATAAGTGTGGGATCATAATCAAAAATGATTGACCATAAGAGAAAAAAACAGAATACTCTTTTAGCCATCACCGCTATCGTAATGTTTTGTGCATTAGGGCTCTAGACATTATTACGGCATTCTTCATTATTTCGAGTTCTTTTGGATATTCAGCAGATTTCTAGGTATTTTAGAGGACTTCTTCAAGATATTTAGAGGCCTTCAATAACATTTAGAGGCATTTGAAGTCTCACAAAAGTCTTCAAAACCGTATTGCCTAATTTCAGAACCTTCTAAAAGGTGTCAAGATCTTATAGAGGCATTCGAGATATTCTATAGTAATGTGGGGACCTAGAAGACTTCAAGAGGTATTAAAGGTTTCCAAATTCTTCTATGTGACTTTCAAAATGACATATGGGTATAAAAATACAAGGGGTTTTCTATTGACTTTCTGCACGTCTCCCTGAAACTTCCAGAGCTCTTTTATTGACTAAATGCTCCCAGAGATTTTTCTAAAGCAATTCTACACCTTCTAATGAGATTCAAGAAAGTATTCTGGGAATTTCTATAGGAGATCGGATACAATACCTTTAGGCGCATTCAATACATTTTAGAGGCATTTGAAGCCTCACAAAGGTTTTCATGGATTTCCATAGGTTTTCAAAACCTTATGGATGTTTCCAATACTTCGTAGAGGATTTGAAGTCCTTCCAGACTAGGATATTTGAAAATTTATTTAGATTAAAAAAAACCGGGAGAATTTCCAGACTTATTAAAGTCTTTCTAGAGATTTTAAAGATTCTATAGAAGTCTTTTATGAATATGGGGTCTTACACATGCCTTCAGTCGAAAAGGTTCCTGAGGTATTTTATAGACCTCCAGATTTTTCGTTTCTTCTTCAAAGACTCGATTCCTACGACCTGAATGTACAGGGAAAGAGTGGGTCATCCGTACCAATATTTCTGGTACCTCCGCCTCAAACTGTGGTAAATAAAAAAACACATTTATTAAAAAAAAATCGTTTCACCTCAATACTAGATTCCGTAGACCTCCCTCTGTTTATATAAAAAAACACCCTGATTAAAAATCTGTTGTCTTGCGGACATTTTTTTCCAACAGAAAAACGGACTTAGTCTAAGAGATTTCTTTTCTATATGGACATAATCCTCAAGCTTTGAGAATCCAGCATTTCTTAAATAAATTTTTTATGTCTCACAGAAGCGAGGAATTTATAAATAATTTTTTTAGGGTTCTACTAAATGTTTGTAAGGATCTTCCTTCTGAATGTATATTAAGGGAACCCCCCCATTCTCGATTTTTTATTTTTAAGATTTTAAATGGGCTGGTAAATGAATACCAATGCTTGTTAAGATTTGTAACTTGGCACATATATATTTGAAGATTTAAAAAGGAAGAAAAATAATTTACCAAAATTTGTTGTTGTTTTTTGGGTTCAAAGAAAAGTCCATATTTCCGATGGCGGGCATGATAACTCCTCACTGGAACATAGGAATCCGAAAATTCCAACTGTGTTAGAAAGAGGACATGTCTGGCTCTCGTATGAACTAGGATTATTGACTTCGCACAACAATTAACAATTTTTTTTTTTTTTGGAAAATCGCCTATTTTTTACCACAAACTAAGTTAAAAAATAAGGAAGATCTTCACCGATTGGCTTTATCCTAGTTCATACGAGAGCTACACACTCCCAGAGAAACGTGTCAATTTGAAACCGATTGGATTATTAGTTTTTGAGTTATCGTGCCCGCCATTCGTTTTGAGAAAAACGCGTTTAAAGTTTGAGAAGCCCTTTAGCCGTCACTTGATGCTGACACAATAAATCGGCTATATCTTCAAGAGTTCTTGAGATTTTCACTTGAAATTTTGTAGGAACATTCTAGAATTAGAGTAGATTCGAATTAAATCAAAAAATATTTTGACACCGAGAATGGGGGGGTCCCCTTAAAGGTCCTAAACATCTGAGAATTTCCAAAAATTATTTTTGCAGCATCTTCAGAATTTCAAGCTCCCTCCCACCACCAACGAGTCACGATTAAAAAAAATATTTTTTTATGGTCCTGCAAATATTTTTCCTTCTAAATATTTTTCAAGGATCCTCAAAACTAAGGTTTATTCAAAAAAGAATAACAGTATTCAAAGGACGTATAAAATATATACTCTCATTTTTTTGGTGTATCTTCCATCTGAATATTTTTCACGGAACCTCAAATCCGAGGCATTATTTTTTTATAAAAAATATTTTCCAGCATACTTAAGAAATATTTTTCAAAGTATTAAAGGCCTCAAAATGTTCCTCAATTATTAGTTCCCCGACCAAGGAATTTTTAAGTGTTTATCAGGCCTTAAGATTTTTTCAAACATCCTCCGAATGTAATCAAAAAGTAAAATATTTTGTAAAAATATGTTCAGCATTCTCAGTCAAATTTTAAAAAATATTTTTCTAAGGTCCCAATTGAAAATAATTATCAGGCTTTTAGAATTTTTTTTTAATTTTCTAAAAAATACTTGAATGTAAATTTGGGCTTGAACAGGTGTTTTCTCATTCAATGCATTGCCATTGAGCAGAATATTTGATATGAAAGTGGTGGGGTGCGAAACATAACATCACATATAAATGTCTGTTTTTCAAGAGGTTCTTAACCTGTCAAATAAACAAAAATTCCGTTTTTGACAATCTGTTCTGCTTCTCTGATGTTTGTTTTTAAATTCCCAATTCCTCCCTTTGCTTCTTATAATCATCTTTATGGGGAAAATAGGCTCTGGAATCTAGTTGTGACCTTTTGTAGGCCTTTGTTTTTTTTGTTATTTTTTCGAAACTATAAAAATCAACCCATTCGCAGGGCAATTAATACAAAAACAATTTACTAAATGAGTTCAAGGTATTAAAGCAATGCCCTAATGGCTGCAATAGAAAATTAAAAAAATAAAATAAAAACAACAAAACTAAAGTTTATTAAAAATTTATTTGAACAATACAAACAAGACGACTCAATGAGTTACGACGTCGATGTTAGTTAGGCTGGGGGTGTAAATTTTATAAGTTACCAACCAAAGTGGCGTTTTTCTTTTTTTTGGGCAAGTGTCCAATACAAAATTGGTTATTAATCGGTAATTTAAAAAATAGGCAGCAACAACAACAGTAATAATAACAACAACTAGAAAATTGTAGAGACATGTGGTAAAAATCCCAGGGAATGGAGGGCTATGGCCGAGGTCCTGACAGTTGCCAAAGGGGGTAGGTCGGTCTTTGAAGAAGAAAAACACTAAAAAATCTATTCCATCATCATTTGGGTCAATGTCCAAGAACATCAAAAATTCCACCCAAAAAACCAACAACAATAACAAACCGAAACACATAAAAACGAAATTGAAAAACCCTGACCTGCTAAGAAAAATGTGTTTTTCTTCTCTTCGATGATTTCAGCCTTTTTTCAACACGCACCCAATAACGAACTTTTTTCTAGTGGTTGTTTAAAGAACCTAGATTTCGATTTCAAAACGATTATAAAGGGAAAGGGTTCGGTTCGGCATGTCATTCTTTCACCTTGAGAGAGAACCTTGTTCAACCGCAGATGATGGCATGGGGTTTTAGGTACCTTTAATAGAATACTAAAATATGCAATTTCAATGCTAGCGGAAGTAGGTCATTGAACCGTCCCCCTTTTTTCGGAATCTCTTCGAAATTTTACTAAAAAAAATAAATTTTTTCGCTCTCTTTTCAGTGGCAAAATCGCACCAAGAGCATCGTTTATCTGCTGTATCGCCTCTTCTTGGCCGGATTCTTTATTGCTGTGGTCATCGATTCGATGATCGATCATTATTACAATGCCAATTTCGGGCTGTATTTCATCTACATGACCAATTGGGGCATCCTAATGTGCATGTTGACAAATATATTTGCAGCCATATTGGTGCTGATATGGCATTATCGTCCCGAGTATGCAGGTGAGTAAGATAGAAAAAGCGTGGATTTTTTAAAAAATATTTTTTCAAGGACCTATACAAGGCGTGGATTTTTTAAAAATATTTTTTTCAAGTGCCTATACAAGGCGTGGATTTTTAAAAGAATATTTTTTAATGGCCTATACAAGGCTTGGATTTTTTTTAAGGCGTGGATTTTTTAAAGAATATTTTTCAAGGTCCCACCATCACCAAGGCGTGGATTTTTTAAAGAATATTTTTCAAGGTCCCACCATCACCAAGGCGTGGATTTTTTAAAGAATATTTTTCAAGGTCCCACCATCACCAAGGCGATGATTTTTTAAAGAATATTTTTTCAAGGTCCTAATATTTGTTTTTATTTCCATTTCAGATAAATTGTTAAATTTGGAATCCCTAACAAGCCCATTCCGCATCTATTGGGGCATGCACATAACAACGCTGGTCGTATCGATTGTCATTACGATTATCTATTGGACCCTGCTGTATGATGGTAGGTCTTCACTTAACCTATATATTGATTTATTTACTAAATCTCTTCCCTCTCCTCTCTCTTTTTGTGTGTCTCTCTCTCCCACAGTCCACGAAAGTAACCTGAATGCCACCAACATCCTCACTCACGTCTTCAATTCGATTTGCATGTTCGTGGATCTGCTGATTGTGGCGCATCCCTTGAGGCTGCTGCATATGTTTTTACCGGTCGTATTCGGTATTATCTATGCCATTTTTTCGGCCATATACCAGCTGAGTGGGGGACATAATATGTAAGTAGCGAATAGTCAAAAATGTCGTAAACCTGTATAAAACTATAAAAAATCAGTAATTTCGAAAAATCACCAATTGCATTAAAAATAGAATGGTATATAGATTTTTTTACAAATTGTAAAAATTTCAAATATTGATTTTTGTGATTTCAAAAATGTCGTAAACTTGTATAAAACTATGAAAAATCTATGATTTCGAAAAATTACCAATTGTTTTCAAAATGGAATGGTATATCGATTTTTTACAAATTGTAAAAAATTCTAAAAGTGTATCTTTGATTTTCAAAAATGTTGTAAACTTGTATAAAACTGTAAAAGATCAATAATTTTGAAAAAATGTCAATCGCTTTAAAACTGCAAACATCGTGACAATTTTTTACAAATTGTAAAAGATGTCAAATACTGTATTTTTTATTGTAAAATATTGTCGTAAACTTGCATAAAATGTATAAAATGAGACACCATTGGAAAGCTCGATATTATTAACCAGTCAACTTATGATATGCTACAAAATAATGTTCATTTCTTCAGGAATTGGTATTTCACATTTGTCAAAAATGTCACAAACTTGTATAAAACCATGAAAAGGAAATAATTTCGGAAAAATTTGCTTTTTCTTAAAAAATTCAAAGAACGGGAATTTTTTTATAATTTTAAAAATATTTTTGCGACTGTCACAAATGTCATAAAAATTTAATTTTTTAAAATTCAAGAAACGGCAAATTTTGTACAATTTTGTTAAATACTTTTGCGACTGTCAAAAACGTCGTAAAGTTGTATAAAACCATAATAAGGCAATATATTAGCTAAAAATGTAAATTTCTTTAAAAATTCGAAGAATTGGAAAATTGTTTTACATTTTTTCGTGATTGTCAAAAACGTCGTAAACTTGTATGAAACCATGAAAAGGCAATAGTTTCACAAAAAATCACAATTTCTTTTAAAATTCAAGGAACTAAAAATTTTTCACATTTTTTTAATAGTACTGCGAATGTCAAAAACGTCGTAAACTTGTATAAAACCATAATAAGGCATAAAATTCGCTAAAAATAAAAATTTCTTTAAAAATTTGAGCAATTGAAATTGTTTTAAGTTGTTTTAAATTTTTCTGTGATTGTCAAAAACGTCGTAAACTTGTATAAAACCATAATAAGGCAATAGATTCGCTAAAAATGTAAATTTCTATAAAAATTCGAAAATTTTGAAATTTTTTACAGTTGTTTTAAATTTTTCTGTGATTGTCAAAAACGTCGTAAACTTGTATAAAACCATAATAAGGCAATATATTTTTGGCTAAAAATGTAAACTTCTACCATAAATGACAATTGTTTCCCGAAAAATATTTTAAAATTGTTTTAAAATTTTCTGTGATTGTCAAAAACGTCGTAAGCCTGTATAAAACTATTTAAAACATCTGTATGTAGGGAAAACTAAAAATACTGTTAATATACAAGGTCTAGAATAATTTTTAAAATATTTTCAATATTTTTGGGATTGTCGTAAACTTGTATGAAACCATGAAATGACAATAGTTTGCGGAAAATTTTTAATTTCTTTGAAATTTATCAAACGGGACATTTTTTAAAAATTTTCAAATATGTTTGTGGTTGTCAAAAACGTCGTAAACATGTATAAAACCATAACATGACAATAGTTTGCGAAAAAATGTAAAATTCTTTAAAAATTCAAGGAAATGGACGTTTTTAGCAAGTTTTTACATATTTTTACGACTGTCAAAAACGTCGAAAACCTGTATAAAAAATTAAAAAAATGGACTATATACGGAAAATGATGAACTACGTTAAACTACACGGTCTAGGACATTTTTGGAAAATATTTTCAATATTTTTGTAATTGTCGGAAATGTCGTAAATGTCATTATTTTCTTTATCTTTTTTTCTAGTAAGGGGAAGCCATATATTTACCATGTGGTCGATTGGGATAAACCGGTGAATGCCACCTTGACCGTAATCGCTGTCCTGCTGCTATCCTGCGTCATTTATATGCTGCTCTTTACAATTTACAAATTGAGAACATTACTCTATCGACGCATCAACAAGGCCTCCTTTATACTGCCCACAACCACACCACCTCCACCAATTACCAAAAAGAAAGCCGGTACCGGAGTGAAACATTCCTCGTCGGGCATATCAATGGTGCTGGGCGATTTTGAGGGCAAAACTAATCCCGCCTTTTCACAGAGTTCTGAAAATATAAATAAGAAATAGAAAAGCGAGTTGTAAAAAATTTAATTAATTTATTTTAGTCGAATTTCATGAAAAATATTTTGAAAATGAATATTTTCAGAAAAAAATATTTTTTTTATTTGTGTATTTATTAAAAATTATTATAATTATTTTGGTTTTAAATTTTTGTTGTAAATTATTGAGACATCATAAGTTTTAGTATTTAGTGTCGAATAAGTCCACCCACATACATATCTGTTTTAGTCATTGTTTGTACCTTAGTATCATCATTATTTAGTTAGTCTCAGGGGAACAAAAAATTATTGTTGAAGCGATATATTTTTTTTTAAATATAATTATAAATAAAATTAATTTTTAAAATAATTTAAGTAGTAACAAATTTTGTAGCATGAAAATAAGAAATAAAAAACAAACTAATTTTAATTACCGCATGGTTTTAATGCAGAAAATATTAAGGATCTGAATGGTCCATGAAAAAACAACATAGTTGTGTAGGGTATAAATATGTTTAAAATATCCACGCCTTGATAAGGACCTTTAAAAAATATGTTTAAAAAATCCACGCCTTGATAAGGACCTTGAAAAAATATGTTTAAAAAATCCATGCCTTGATAAGGACCTTGAAAAAATATGTTTAAAATATCCACGCCTTGATAAGGACCTTGAAAAAATGTGTTTAAAATATCCACGCCTTGATAAGGACCTTGAAAAAAATATGTATAAAAAATCCACGCCTTGATAAGGACCTTGAAAAAAATATGTTTAAAAAATCCACGCCTTGATAAGGACCTTGAAAAAAATATGTTTAAAAAATCCACGCCTTGATAAGGACCTTGAAAAAAATATGTTTAAAAAATCCACGCCTTGATAAGGGACCCTTGAAAAAAATATGTTTAAAAAATCCACGCCTTGATAAGGACCTTGAAAAAAATATGTTTAAAAAATCCACGCCTTGATAAGGACCTTGAAAAAATATGTTTAAAAAATCCACGCCTTGATAAGGACCTTGAAAAAATATGTTTAAAACATGTATGCCATGGTAGAGACCTTGAAAAAATATTTAAAAAATATTTCCTGGGAAATTATTCTTTTTTTGTAATCCATGTCCTGTGAGACTTGTTTCCAAAATAAAAAATTCCCAGACCATGATTTCTATTATTTTTTTGTAATTGTTAAAATATTAATTTCACGAGGCCATAATTACAATGTTAACACCTTGTTGGACGGACAAAATGAGACTTCTAATTGGCCAGCAACACCTGCATTTTAGCCACAGAAAAAAAAACACTGCATGACGAAGGATGTACGCCAGGTCATCCATCACCTTACTGTTGAATTTGAACCCAAATGATATGCGTGCATGTGATTCTCCATGCATATGTATGTGTGAGACTAACACCAACTCACCTCAGGAGGTTGTTTAGATTTACTAAGAATTAATCCTTTTTTGTTGTCCTTTCGATTGTCACACATATCCTGTGTGATGACTAATCACAATTCACTTTCACTTGTCCGGCTGACTGCATTGTGTGCAACATGTATCACAATGGCAACAACAACAACAACGACATATAAAAAGGATTAATCGGTAATAAAAAAGGGGACAACAAAACAACTTCCGTTATTAGTGGACCTTACACACCCCATTAATGTTTTTTGCATGCTACATGCATGCGATTCGAGTCTAGTCGAATCGAGTTTCCCCCCGCATTCGAGTCGAAATTCGAATGTCAATAACGTCATTATCCTTGCTATTGAAATTCCCACATGGTGGCGTGGTGGACATTTAATTAACACGCATACACATACAAATGTGCACTACTTCTGTGTGTGTGAATGGCAGACAATTGTAATGGCAAATAAATGAGAGTTATTATATTTTATTCATAGAGCAAGGATAATGCCAAGAGAGCAAGAGTAAACATGTCAACTCTCGAGACAATGGGAGTGAAAACCAGGCGTGGATTTTTTAAAAACATATTTTTCAAGGCGTGGATTTTTTAAAAACATATTTTTCAAGGCGTGGATTTTTTAAAAATATTTTTTCAAGGCGTAGATTTTTTTAAAAATATTATTTTCAAGGCGTGGATTTTTTAAAAATAAAAATATTTTATATTTTTTTCAAGGCGTGGATTTTTTAAAAATAAAAATATTTTATATTTTTTTCAAGGCGTGGATTTTTTAAAAATAAAAATATTTTATATTTTTTCAAGGCGCGGATTTTTTAAAAATAAAAATATTTTATATTTTTTTTTCAAGGCGCGGATTTTTTAAAAATAAAAATAAAAATATTTTATATTTTTTTTTCAAGGCGCGGATTTTTTAAAAATAAAAATATTTTATATTTTTTTTTCAAGGCGCGGATTTTTTAAAAATATTTTTTAAAGGCGTTGATTTTTTAAAAATATTTTTCAAGACATGGATTTTTTAAAAATATTTTTTCAAGGTGTGGATTTTTTAAAAATATTTTTTTCAAGGCGTGGATTTTTTTAAAGATATTTTTTTCAAGGCGTGGATATTTTAAAATTTTATTTTTTCAAGGCGTGGATTTTTTAAAAATATTTTTTTAAGGCGTGGATTTTTTAAAAATATTTTTCTCAAGGCGTGGATTTTTTAAAAATATTTTTCTCAAGGCGTGGATTTTTTAAAAATATTTTTTTCAAGGCATGGATTTGTTAAAAATATTTTTTTTCAAGGCGTGGATTTTTTAAAAATATTTTTTTCAAGGCATGGATTTTTTAAAAATATTTTTTTTCAAGGCGTGGATTTTTTTAAATATATTTTTTTTCGAGGCGTGGATATTTTAAAATTTTATTTTTTGAAGGCGTGGATTTTTTAAAAATATTTTTTTAAGGCGTGGATTTTTTAAAAATATTTTTTTCAAGGAGTGGATTTTTTAAAAATATTTTTTTCAAGACGTGGATCCAAAGATATTTTTTTCGAGGCGTGGATATTTTAAAATTTTATTTTTTCAAGGCATGGATTTTTTAAAAATATTTTTTTCAAGGTGTGGATTTTTTAAAAATATTTTTTTCAAGGCGTGGATTTTTTTAAAGATATTTTTTTCGAGGCGTGGATATTTTAAAATTTTATTTTTTCAAGGCGTGGATTTTTTAAAAATATTTTTTTAAGGCGTGGATTTTTTAAAAATATTTTTCTCAAGGCGTGGATTTTTTAAAAATATTTTTTCAAGGCGTGGATTTTTTAAAAATATTTTTCAAGGCGTGGATTTTTTAAAAAAAATTTTTTAAGGCGTGGATTTTTAAAAAAATATTTTTTCAAGTCGTGGATTTTTTAAAAAATATTTTTTCAAGGCGTGAATTTTTTAAAAAATATTTTTAATGAGAGTGAGGATTTCTTAAAAATATTTTTTCAAGGCGTGGATTTTTTAAAAAATAGTTTTTTCAAGGCGTGGATTTTTTAAAAATATTTATTCAAGGCTTGGATTTTTTAAAAATAGTTTTTTCAAGGCGTGGATTTTTTAAAAATATTTATTCAAGGCTTGGATTTTTTAAAAAATAGTTTTTTCAAGGCGTGGATTTTTTACAAAATATATTTTCAAGGCGTGGATTTTTATAAAATATTTTTCAAGGAGTGGAGTTTTTATAAAATATTTTTTCAAGGCGTGGATTTTTTTGCAAAATATATTTTCAAGGCGTGGATTTTTTATAAAATATTTTTCAAGGCGTGGCGTAGGGGATGGTAGATACCAAGCAACGGCACTGATTGGCTTTAACATGGCCAAATACAGGCTTATCTTGGTCCCTCTTTCATCTCAATTGTGGACACTGACCTCCCCGCTGTGCCACCTGGGGAGCTATTTTCATCACCCGATGAAATAGTAAGCTAATATGTGCAGCGAGTTCATCCATAAGAACTATAAAAAATGGGTTGAGGCGTCGCGTTAGTTGCCCACACTCGGAAAACCGAACCTACTATGAAAAAGCAAAGAAAAAGAAAACCAAACCCCCTAATGTTGACGACCCCCACAAACGTATAAAGGACCACGATCAGCACTTGGAATGTGCACACGTTGTACAGAACAGGCACAGTGTTCGCATTGGCAGATGTACTCAAGAAGTACCAAGCCGATATCTCCATATACACAAAGCCACTTGGATTTCTCCCGATCGAACAGCGAGAAATCAAATCGATCATGTTGTAATAGACGGAAGGCATTCATCCAGTGTTTTAGACGTCAGATCAATCTGAGGAGCGAATATCGATTCGGAATATTACCTTGTGGCAGCCAAGGTACGCAGCAAAGGTGCGATCTAATGTAACACGGAATTTTGACGTCGAAAAGCTGCAAACACAACATATAGCAGAAGCCTACTCAGCTCAACTTACCCAACTCCTTGACGAAATCACCCCTTGTCCCGATAATAATATAGAAGCAGAGTGGCAGGGAATTGCCCACTCCCTACAAACTGCAGCAAAAGCAACGCTTCGATACCAAAGACCACCATCAAGAAATCCGTGGTACCATCAAGAGTGTCGTAATGCTACTGATATGGAAAACGCAGCGTATAGGGCAACCCTGCGGGCAGTAGCAACACGTAATGCGATGGAGAACTATCGGGAGAAACGTATTTTCAGAAAAAAGAAGAAAGAACAACAATAATGTGAGCGTGAGCAAATCGAGATGTACAGGAGTCAGAATCCGAAGTCCGAAAATTCTACCAACGGGTAAAACACCAAACCGAAGGCTTTGGTGCAGGCACATCCTCCTGTAGAGATGAAGAAGGAAACCTGGTGACAGATACAGACAGCGTACTGAGGATCTGGAAGGAGCATTTTGAAAAACTTCTGGTATTAAATAGTAGCGGTGAAGGGGATACCCCAGAACCATTAAGAGATGACGGTATAGAGAGTATACCACCTAGCCAAGATAAGGTCAGAATAGCAATCAATCGGCTGCAGAATAATAAAGCAGCATGTGCCGATGGGATACAAGACGAACTAGTCAAGACTGGTGTTCAGATGCTGGTAAGGAGAATGCACCAGCTGATTAGTACAAT